ACTGAGTGGAAGGACCTGGATCAATTCACAAGTAGCTGGAACTTTTTCTCCTTCAGAAAAAGGTCTTATCCCAATGACTCCCATGTGGGATAAACTTAGAAACACTCTCTCTCTTTAAAAACATGACCCCCAATTTAAGGGTCAATCTATGGTTAGGTTCAAATTACACTGGTTTGCCCATGCCTTGGGGGAATATTCTCAGACTCACCCCAGGGCTAAGAGTTGCCACTCCCCCTCCCCAGTCACTGAGGGGCGATCTACAGTAGCCAGCAGGAAGGGACTTCCTTGGGACTGAGGAGTGGCTGGGTTCTTGCGCATATTCTGAATATTTCAGTCCTAAATAACCCATTCTGGGTCCTGGACCCTTTGGGAGCTGAATTATAGTGCCATCTCTGGAATGCAGCATGATGGCCTCTCCAATCTCTCTGCTACAATAAGGACTGGACCTGCAAACCCCAGAGGGCTCTGCTCTCTGCCCAGTGCTCTGAGATGGAATCACAGAACCTAACACCAGAGGGAGCCCTAAGGGCAGGGGTTCCCAAGGCCCCACAGGAGGAGATGACAGAACTCCTAGAACCTGGGCTGGTACCTCTAGCCCCTCAAGCATATAGATGGGAAGATTCTGGAGATACTTTGAATCCTTCTGGGTCCCTCACTTCAGACAGGCAAGGGGTAGGGGGCTCTAAGAGCCCACCTGGGGTGCTTGAACTGTGACCCTGCACCCCAAGAGGGTAAGGCAGTATGATGGAGTCTCCCAGCCTCCCCTCTCCTTCTCTGTCTCCAGTCTCTTCCCCCTTTTCTTTCTCTTCCCTCTCTCCCCCTCCCCCTCCTCTCTCTCACAAAAGCTCTCTGTACACAGCCACTTCCTCTGGCTGCTGTCTCTGAGCCCAGACCTTATGAGAACCATATGGGGGAAAGAGGGTGGAAGAGAAGGGGGTGGGGGAATATGGCTGGGTCCGCCCCTCCAGCCAGCATCTTTCCCCTGCCCTTGGGCTGTGTGCATGGCAGTTGGCACACTTTGCCCCCAATTCCCCTAACTGGATCCTGGTGGCTGCAGTGACTGTGTCCCAGTCCAGAACTGGAGGTCCAGAAGGACAGAACTGCTCAAGAGCCACCTCCCTGAGGTGGGAGCACTGCACAAGGGCCATGAAGTGACCTCCTTACCCATCTCCCATCCTTCCCCACCAAGACCACCGAACTCCCAGCAAAAACACACAGCCACCTCTGGGCACATCTATGGCAGATTGCCCCTTCTCCCCAGTGTGGGCAAACCAGCGATGGGAGGCTAAGCAGGTTGAGGAAATATGAACTGCCCTGTCCACGCCTGCCTCCTTCTCACCAGTCTGGAATGGTCTCAGGTTGAAAGGTCTTTGGTCCTCCTGGAAAAATCTGGGATTTTAAAGCAGTGTTTGTGTCCCAAGTCCAGGTAAGTGAAGAGCAAGGCCCTCATCTGACAGGGAAGCTAGAAGAGCCCAACTGGTTAGGTCAGATGCTGACTCCAGCAAGCTGTGAGATCATTATTCAGGCCCTGTCCCTCTCCAGCCTCAGTGTGCTAAGCTGTAAGATGTGGGGGCTGGACTTGCTTATCTCAAAGACCCTTTTCAGTATAGACAGTGTAGGAATTTATGACACTGGCTGGCGTCTTCTGAGGGGCTGCTCAGATGCCCTGGGAGGTCCGCATAGGAGATTTCCTTCTGGAGTTATCTATTATCAGTCCTTTCCTGGAATTCCTTATTCTCAGACCCCTCTCCTCCTCCCCCTAATTTCCAGAGCCGAGAACCAGTGGGCAGGCCCTCAGCTGCTGCCCAGGAGTCAGGGGAGGCTCACAGTGGGCTCCTATCCACAGCCAGGTTCTCCCTGGGACATCTCTCTCCGGAGGGGCCCTTGAAGGCTCCTGCTCTGGACAAGAGCATTTGTGCCCACAGCTGCCCTGCAGATTGAGCTGTGAGACTGGGGGTGGGGTGGCACAGATGGATCAGGAAGGAAGCCAAAAGCTCCACTTTCCTGGAAAACTGCAAATGAAAGTCCATGAAAGAAAAAAAAAAAAAGCAAAGGGTGGGGGAGAGGGGGCATGGAGTCTACAAAAACAGAAGGCAGAAGTAGAGATAACAGGGTGGAGGAAGGGTTTCCAATGAGGTAAACAGGACTGTTCACTCCTCAGTCTCTCTCTGAACTGAGAAGGGAGCCAGCCCCCTTGCAGACAGGACCTTCTCTGGCACTTTGAGTCCCAACACTAAGTGTCTGTCAGGGTTCCCAAGGTGGAATCCTGAGGTCCCTGAGGACTCGTGTGACTGGGACCTACCTGCAGGCCCATTCTGGAGGAAAGGAAAGGGTCCTAAGTTGGAATGTAGGGGATGTTAGGGAGGGAGGACACTGCCACAATGCAAAAACAATTGGCTCATGTCTTTTGTTTGTACCAGGTGACAAGCTAAAAGGCAAAAGGGAAATTCTGTGTGGAAAATAAATTAGATTAGAGGAGTTTGGGAGGGTGTGGCAGTATGATGGAGTCTCCCATGGTTTTTGTTGTTGTTGCTTTTTTTTTTTTTTTTTAGTCTTTTGCTTTGCTGCCAGGCAGAAGTGGCAACCCCTTCCCAGCCCTTCACTTCTATGGGGCCTGCATCCTGGTACCTGGCACAGGGCTGCACACCTGTAATCCCAGTGGCTCAGGAGGCTGAGAAAGGAGGAACTCCAGTTCAAAGTCAGCCTCAGCAGAAGAGAGGCACTAAGCAACTCAGTGAGACCCTGTCTCTAAATAAAATACAAAATAGGGCTGGGGATGTGGCCCAGTGGTTGGGTGCCCCTGAGTTAAAACAGGGCGAGGGGGGGCAGTGCAGGGGATGTGGCTCAGTGGTAGAGCACCCCTGAGTTCAATTCCAGCACAGCAAAAATTTAAGAAAAAGAAAAAAAGAAGAAGAGAAGGAATCCTTGTCCTACTTCTGCCGAAGAAGAACTTTTTTCCCCCCTTTTCCCTTCAGAAGCCAGCTGGGGGAAGGAGGGCACCACCAGGATCAGGATTATGTGTCTGGCTGGGGTTTCAGTCTCACCCAGGCTGATGGGTTATTGGGCTCTCAAGGAATTTCCTTGCCCGCCTTGTCCATTGTCCCTGTGGGGATGTGAAGTCAGGTTTGTGGGCCCTGTTCCTCTGAAAAGTGTCTTCAACCAGCCAGGTCAGTGTCCTAGGAGAAAAGAGGGGAACCTTCCTCTGGGGAGGATTGGAGATGGGAAGGTATGCTAGGAGTCGCATCTGCTGTCACTCTGTCACAATATATTCTCACCAAGGTTTGCCCCACTCTCTCCTTGGAGTGGCGTCAATGGGAATTAGCCATGGCTGGAAAGCATTACTTGCCAAATCATTCTAAGATGTACTGCAAAACCACCTTTCGACCTCCCCCCACTTTCTTTCTGCTTTGGCTGTGTTAGGATTCCCTAATCCCCACCAACAGGCATACAGAGACAAGGTCCACATACGTGCGTGCACTCAGCCACAGGAGCTAGTGCACAGCCCCCATCTCAATCTCAGAACTGATTATCATTGTGCAGCTCCGCCTCACACTGAGACCAGCCCAACTATTCCACACAGCAAGCAATTCTTCTCCAGAACTGAGGGGGCCGGTGAATGCCCAGGCCTGCGGACCCTTAAATACCGCCGCACACCACCCTCTTGCGTGCCGGGTTTGGGATATAGCAACTAGTGCCTTTCTGGCATTGCCATATCCCCGAGTTGGGATTGGACAGACACACTGCCTCCACCCCAAGGCATACACGCATGCACACACCCCAGCTGGGGAAAACTCAGGCCAGGCGGCCAACGTCACAGGCTGACCAGTTGTGTCCTGTCAGGAAGCGGACAGCCTCTGAACTCACCCAACCAGAGGCGTTACTGTATTGTTCTGGACACAATCGAATAGACGGAGCCAGCCCCAACTCCCGAGCAAGAGGTGGTGGAGAAACGGTCGCCACTGGGGTCAGGAGGACAGGAAAGGGGAAGCGGCTTTTAGGCTAGATCAGGACGGGAAAGCAAGGGACCGCACCTCGGACCAATCCTCAACTCCACGGCATGCGTGGAGGTATGAGCACGTGGTCAGCGCAGGAAATCGCAAAGATGGGAAGGGGTCGCAAATACTCCTGCGGTTGCCGGGACTTAAGATCCCACGGAGGAGACTTGGGCTTACATTGTGGAGCAGCGGCGCTTGTGGCCGGTAAAGCAAGAGTCCCTGGTTGAGATGGGAATCACAGGAGTCTGGGAGGCATGCGCCTCCCCTCTTCTTTTTTCGTAATCCTTGCGCAAAGTCAATCAGAAACAGCCAAATCTCCATTTATTTCCAGGGAAGGGAAAGAACAGGCAGGCGCTCAAGACCCTGCACAAGCTCACCACACACATGCACTCAATGGAAAAGGGACCCAAGAGGAATTGGGACGCCCCGGTCTCATTCAGACCGGAGCGCCCGCATTCCAAGAACGGATTTTCTGAGTGTATTCTCCCGCCTGCCCTATGCAAAAGGGCTGGAAGCGGGGCTGGCAGGCCCGGGGAGCGGATCAAGTACCCTCAGTTTGAGAAGGCAGTACCGCCCCAAAGCCCGGGAGACTCCTGCAGTACCGCCCCAGACGGGCTGCGATCTTAAGGACCTACTGGGCCGCGGGCGGCATCTTTCCTAAACTTTCTCGGCCCTCACCCTCTTTAGGTCCCTAAAGTCCCTAACACTAGCCTAGGCTGGAAACAAGGGGCAGGGACGTCCTGCCAGCGTGCATTCCACTTTACCTGTGCAGGTGACCCGCGGTGCCTCTCTCTGGGGCATACCTGACCGCACAAGCCCCTTCCTCCCTCCGCGGCCCCGACGTTCCAACTTTCCCCCTACTTTTCCAAACTTTCCCGCTCAGCGCTTGGACTTAGGCCTGTCCTGGAGTCTCTGAAGTGGCGGAATGGCCCCCTTTCTCCTCCTCCCCTGTGGCCTGCATTTGTCCTCTCGTCCCGGCTCGGGCCAGTGGTGTAGGGTACTCACAGGGTAACGGTGCCGTTTGGCAGAAGGCCAGGCTCCGGAGGCTCTGGAAGGTCCCCGCCGCCGCACACTACCCTCCTGCGTGCCGGGTTTGGGGTGCCGCCGCTCAGTCCCTTGGGCCGCTCCCCTGAGCACTTGCAGCTGCGGATGGGGACCGGGCAGCCGGGCGCGCCCTGAGTCTCGGGCGCCAGGAGCAGCAGCCACGGCAGCAGCGGCAGCAGGAGGCGAGCGGGCGTCCCCCGCATCCTGCGTCCCCTGGCGCCCATCAGCCCATCGCCCCGCGGGGACCCACAGTGCTGGGGCCAAGCTGCGAGCCGGCGGGAGGGACCCGGCGGTGCGGGAGGCGTGCTCAGCGGGGGCCCAGGGCGCCCGAGGGCGGGGCGGGGGGCCCTGGGCGGATGCAAGCCCTGGGGTCCCCGCCGCCGCGCCCCGGGGGCATGTCCGGCGAGCGCCCCGCCGGGGAGGACGCGGGTGCGGCTGTCAGCGCAGCTCCGGCAGCCCCCGGCGGCGCGGCCCGAGTTTCAGGGCAGTGCTACTGGGCCGGTGAAAGCCCGGCCGCTGCGCGTCTCCTACTCGCTCAGCGTTGGGCTGGGACCTAGCGGATCGCGCCGGGATCCTGCCGCCGCCGCTGCAGCCGCTACTCCGTGCCATGGATGGAGGCAGCTCGGCGCCGTGCGGCTCCCGCCGCCGCCAGCCCCCGCGCTCTCCCCTCCCGCTTCGGCACTCCGCGAGGCCCTAGTGCCTCCAGATGCTCAGCCAGGCAGCTGCCCTCTTTGCAATGTGAGCTGAAGAGCTGGCTTGAGACCCCCATGTGTTCCCTGTGCCCGCCCTGAACCAAGACTGCTCTGCCTCCCCACCCGTTCCCCTGGGCTAGAACCTTTCCTCTCTACAACTCGTCTCAGACTTCTAAACCAAACACCATGACTTTCCACAAAATCCTCCCAGGCACCCTGCAGACCTATGCATATGGGGCTTTCATTGACCTGTGGTGTGACCTGAGATGTCTGGTGCTCCATGATTTGGGTTGAACTTTGCTCACCACTCTGAGGTTTCCACTGGCCTCTGACATGATGGGCCAGTCTGGAGGTTGGCTCTCACTCTCACAGCCCTATTGGGGTCACCGCAGGAGAATACAAGACAGAAACAAGGAGGTAGCAGACCTAGACCTGGAGCAGTGACCTTGCCCAGCGGGGAGTACATGTCATTAGGCTAAAAGGAGGTCAAAGGTCAAGGCAGATCCTGCTAGATCTGGCCTCCTCCTCTTTCCACCTCCGAGAGAGAGAGAGAGAGAGAGAGAGAGAGAGAGAGAGAGAGAGAGAG